ACTTCGTAGAAAAAGGTGAGAAGCGTCCGTGTCTCTAAGAGGGTCCATATAAAATTTTTTCTTCTTTTTCTACGAAGTGTGCCGGATTGAAGTTCCGGCTCACGGGCCACCAGTTAAATAGCCCTGTCCTAGACCTTCTCATAGAAAAGGTGAGAAGCGTCTCCCTGGACACTTTTGTAGGAAAGGTGAGAAGCGTCCTCCTGGACCCTCTTAGAGACACGGAGAGCAGGTAGGTAATTGCAGTTAACACCCACTGGGACTTTGAAGGGTGGTGGGCTGTCACGGCCGACACCCACTGAGACACTGAGGGGAGGTGGGTCATTGTGGCCAACACCCACTGAAACGCTGAAGGGAAGTGGGTCATTTTGGGCGACACCAACTGAGACACTGAAGGGAGGTGGGTCATCGTAGCCAGCACCCATTGAAACACTGGGAACAGGTGGATCGTGAAGTTCAGCCTCATTGGGCTGAGTGGGAAATGTTGGGGGTGCAGAAGATGCCGGCGAAAGTTCAGTGTACCGGTTCTGGGTCCGTCTTCGGACCCTCCAGTGGCAGTGGCGTGAGCTAGGAGCAGGAACGAACCAGAGCTTATCCTCTGGCTCAGCGTCCTCCTCAGATGTCCATTCAAAAAACTCAAAAGAAGAGTGAAGTGTCAGAGAAGAGGGAAAACTGGGCCTGAAAGCCAGGTGGCTCCCCTGGAGCTGAAACCTCCTCTTTTCCTCTTCCTCCACTAGAAGACGTGACAGCAGGATCTCCAACTCTGGGCTATGCTCTGTCTCTTGACAGGTTTGGTCCGAAACCTGCTCTACCAGATGAAAGACTCCTTCCTCTGTGCTTGCTCCCATCGGGCTGTCCGAGCCACTTCTTGGGCCAAGTGCTCGGCCCAAGTCATCTAACTGCTGGGTTTGTATTTTGGTCAGGGCTATCACAATACAGTGCGGTGGTTAAACTCAAATGCAGGCAGGACTCAGAAACCCAGGAGGTAAAATAAGAAATACTTTAAATAAACAGCAAAAAGGGCTGACGTGGCAGCAAAACTCACTTTTTCCAGGAAATGCATAGAAAACACGAGGAGGCAGATGAAATATCACCAGACAATGCCGAGACAACAAATAACAGACAGACACAAGCATATATACAGAGACTGATGAGACATAACCATAAACACCTGGACAGGACATGCAGGTGACACAGGGAAGGTTGAATTAATAAATGGGACACCAGGGAGTGCAGGGACAGAACACGCCACAAGAGGGCACCATTCTCATAGATTCAATAATTATTTTCATAAATTAAAAAATTAACAATCCTGCCCAGTTGCAAAGTAGATCACAGACAATAAGAGAAATTAGCAAATAAATAAATAAATACACTACATTAAAAATATTTATTTTTTAGGGGTGTAACAGTACGCTAAAATCACTTTCCATTCGGTTCATTTTCAAGGAGGGCTCGGTTCAGTTAATTTTCGGTAAAAAAAAGGCCAAAACAAAGACTTACAAAATGTTTATTTTGAAAATGTGCCAAGTAAACAATAAGTTTGTATAAAAATAAATAAAAAAATTCCCTGAAGCGGAGAAGACTGAGCTGCTCAGCTCTCGGTGACATCCTCAGATTGCAAACACAAAGAGGTAAAAAAAATTGAGTTAATAATATTATAATTTTAAATTAAAAAAGTTAATTAGATTACAATAATACAATAACAATACCTCTTTTTGCACAGTCATCATTTTTGTTATGAGGTGGTTGAATCTCTTGCTCATCATCATCAGGGCAGGACTTTAAATCTGGGGTCGGGCTTGTTGACAATATCAGTTTTAGCTTTTTCATAAAGTGCTGCTACGACATTTTGGCTGAAATGTTGACGTGATGGGATGTTGTAGGCAGCGAGGCTCAAGAACTATAATCATATACTTAATGCCAGCGCATCAACAACAGAATACGGACGTAGATCCAGAGCTTTAAAAACTCCTACAGCTTGTTTTATTGCTTTGAACCGATCTGAATTACCTGATAAAGGTTGTTTAAATGCTGCTGTTATCGGTCTTTGCAACAACCAAGCTACTATTCTGTAGAAGAGACGTTCACGTTCAGACGATGTTGTTTCAAGTGTGTTAAACAAGCTTAGACGTGTTGCTGCTGCAGATCAAATCTCCGTGAAACGTCGACACACAGCTTTGGAGTTGCATTTGTCTTATCCCATTGTTGAGTTTTAACAAGAAAGTTATAATGTTCCCAAACAGAAGACTGCAACGAGATGAAAGGGTCTCCTGCTAGGCTGCTAATGCTACGCGTGCTGCAAGGATATGCAACAATTAATAGCGCCCTGCTGAAAAACGCTTAGGAACTTTAATTCCACGGCGCATAATCTCTTGTTAATAAAATTTAATGAAAAAATAACCGAAACGGTACGCACATGGACCGAACTGAACATGCTGTACCGAAATGGTTCAATACACCAACATGTACCGTTACACCACTATTATTTTATATAAAATAAATAATACATTAAAACTTTTAATGTAACATGTCACCTGTGTTCAATTTTGGGCTTTTGAAGGCATTGAAGGTGCTGAGAGTTCCCCACTGCATAAACATCTAGTGGACTGAGGACACACAAAATCCACAGTCCAAGTCTTGGTCTGTATCAAAGCTAACACAAGACAAACTACCATAATTAGCAGACTATAAGCCACTACTTTTTTTAACATGTTTTGAACACCGCAGCTTATTCAATGTGGCGGCTAATTTATGGAATTTTTTTTGATGGGCTAATGAGCTTGATGCTGCCAAAACATTTAGCCTCGTCACACCCAGGGACTCACAGAGCTGCCCAATACATGTCTCTTTTGAGGGGTGGGTCCTTGTGACTCAATGACTACCTGAATAAATAAAGGTTAAAAAAATCTGACCAGTGAAATTACCGAACAGGTCCCAGTGGACCAATGAAACTTGGTTTCTTTTTCATACTTGGTTTCATTGGACCACCCATTGTTTCCTCCCCTCCCTGGGGGCACAACAAAGTACAAAGTATTTGCAGCCACTCGAAATAAGTGTGAGTTTTGCATTAATGTGGCACTCCGAGCTCGGTGGGAAACTTGGAAGACTGGCGGTGAGAGACTGTAGACAAAAACTGGTTGCATGCGAAGAGCAACTTTTGCTCAAGCCTGCAGGTGGATCCTGACAGCAGAGCAGGATAAAAATATCCTCTGTAGGAGATGAAGATAGTGATCAATGGCTTCCTGGTAGGCTACTGTATTTTATTTTTAACCAGTCATGTTACAGGCACTGCTCAGAAAATAAACATTTACTGTATGTATTTCTGTATGTTACCGGTACTTATTTAATTAAAAGTTTAAAAAGATGTCTGTAAATATCTCATGTTACAACGTGGACACCCACAGCTTATACTGTATGTACAAAAATGTTTTTCTTTTTAAATTTACTGGGTGCCAGTGCATTGGCGGCTCTCAGCAGCTGGGGCTGGGTGGTCGGGTGTGTGCGGGCCCGCCCTTGTGGCTGCCTGCGGGGGCCTGGATGCCCTGGCTCTGTCGGGCCTCTGTTGGGGGGTGGTATGACCTCGGGACTCGGGGCTTGGTGTCCATGGCCCGATCCACTCTGGAGGGGCGGGTTGCTGGCGGGGCCTGCGGACTCGTCGCTGCAGCCTCCTGGGGTTTCTGCATTGTGGTTGCTGGGGATCGCCCGGGGCTTCCCTTTGCTTCTCTCTCTGGGGGGCGCGGGTGTCCCTGTTGGGGTACTTCCTGAGTTTCAGGCTTGGGGACCGCTGTGTGTCTGTGGTTCCGGTCTTCCCTGTGTTACCTATTTTGTGTCCTGTGGGGACGGGTTTATGGGTCCCCACATCCACTATTGAACATTTTTATGAGAAACCTTATAATGATAAGCATGCTCACACAGGTGTTTAGATTCAGGTGTTTATCAGATACACACTCAGTTGGGTTGTGGTGGCCATCAAATATATATTATATTACCATGTACTGTATAAAATACTTTCTAATGATATTATAAGTATCATTATATATGTTGTTTGTTGTTGTGGTTTCTCGGTTTTTTTTTTTGTTTGTTTTTTTCTTTCCGCAGGTCTAGAGGCAGACTTCAATGGTGTTGATTTGTGCTCTCTTTATCCCTCTCTCTCTCCTCTATTCCTATCTCATTCTTTACATTTTAACTCTTCTCTCACTTTTCTGCTTTGTTATCTTCTTTGTTTTCCGTCCCCATGTCCATTACATCTGGAACAAACCCAAAGCATATTCTAATAAAATTTAATTTATGTATCAAGTGGAGCATTAAGGCCAGCCATAATGCTCTGCTTGTGAAAGTAAATCTGTTGAGCATCACTTTGACACTCAGACATAATTCTAAGTGTCACAATGCCGGACAGGACAAAGGGAAAAAATAAATAAATTTACTGGGGGCAGTTTATATTCAGGTGCGCTCAATAGTCCGGAAATTACGGTATAACTCAGAAAATTTCATAGATTTTGATTGAAGAGTTGGTGGTGTAGCAGCTGAAATCATACTCTAATCTTATACTGATCACAAGTTCAGGGTTACATCTATTGGAGTCAACTCTGTTAGCAACATATCTCATGACACACAGGACAGATTTAAATGAAACCTTCATAAAGTACTTATTGGATGGATAATAAAAACAGTTAACTTGTGGAATTCAAGATGGCTGCTACAGCCAACTGACATAAGAAAACACATGAATGTTTTGGCATTAAGCTCAAATTGTAGTGATAGTAGCTGAGAGTCATCCTTAACACACATCCTGAGCACTAATACATCTTATAAGATGTTCCACGAGATTAGTACCAAAGTTTGATCAAAAAGCTTTGCATCATAAGATGGAGTTATTTTAACACTCTTCTGTGAATTGGCTTTTTTTTTTCCAAGAATATGAGGCCTTTTATTTTTATTTCAAAAAATGAACGCATATGAATAAATGAGAAGCTCTGTCAAAGAGAAGACTAGGAAATGAAAAAGACAAGTTGGTTTATGATTTGTGTTGTTGCAGTAATTTCACCACAGGAGGGCGCAGCTGTTCAATGATTATATTTAATTCTGATTTTATTGGTCAGTAACATAAAACATATAAACTAACAATAAGCTTTCAGACTTTTAGCACCCTCTGCTGCTTGTTTGACAAGAATACATTTTAGGTCTGAAACATTTATTGCACTGTTAAAATTTCACCTGTTTGGTCTGCTGCCTTCATACAGCTCCTCCTACATGTCTCTGCGTGAGTGCAGCTACAGCGTGCGCTCTCAGGACATTATTACCTGCAGTGTTCCCTCAGTGAGGACTGAACTTGGCAAAAGGTCCTTCTCCTACTCCGCTCCTGTTTCCTGGAATATCTTGCAAAAAGATTTGAAGCTCTCGACCTTGTTTTAAAACATAATTTTCTTTCATTTATTTTTCAATTTATATGCTTTCTGTTATTATTGTCCACTGCTGTCATCATTCTTTGTTAAAATCAGGTCTCTCTTGTAAATGAGTACATATACATGTGTATACATATATACATATACATGTGTATACGTATATACATATATACATGTGTATACGTGTATACATATATACATGTGTATACGTGTATACATATAAACATGTGTATACATATATACATGTGTATACATATATATATATATATATATATATATATATA